GAGAATTCAATAGCTAAGGCTGTTGTTAAGGTTCTTGCAGCTCTTCGTCCATGCCCACAGCTGTGAGTGGAAGTGCATGTGAGCTCATTGCTGGGATATGTGCATTTTGCTATAAGCCCTTTTTGAGAGTAGGACTGTGATAACTGCCTTCCTGTTTTCTCTGGAATGAGAGGAAGTAAAAATAATTTCTACTTTCTTTTTCTTTTCTTTGAAGTTTCTTTGCCACAGACAACCAAGGAGCCAGTACCAGAGGTGAGCAAGATGAGGGGTATAAAACCTTACCTTCCAATTTCTACTATGTTAGCCTGGGATCAAGGGTAATATTTTTCCCCATGGGCTGTTTTCAGGCCTTGTATTTTCAAATGAGCTGAGTAATAGGGCTGTTTAATTCAGAAGTCATTTTCTGTAAAAAGGTGGAGCCATTAACATTTTACTTCCCTTCTTCTAGAGGATGCTTCTCAAACTCCTGGTTTTTGCCTTTTTCTTTCTGGATGCATTTTGTTCAGATAACTGGCCCTTAATCCCCTTTTCTCTCTGTGTACCCCAAGCTTGGAGGATTTAACTAATTTTACTTCACTTTAGATGAACTACTCCACTAGCCTTTCAGTGCTGCTTCACAGCATTCTCTCAGGTCCAATGTAGAAATAAGCAGTTGAGGTGGGCTTTCCACAGCCTTACAGAGAAGGCTGATGGGAAAGGTGGAATGTGGAGTTTTAGAATGGTGGTGATTTTGTGTCTCAGCCTTACTTGATTTTGTAAAGAAATGTTTTTTTTTTCCAGACTACTGTTTTTTGGTACCAAAAAAGAGTTAAACTCTTAGGGTTCTGCTGGAAAGAAACATGTAGTGTTTTCTGCTCAAACACAGCATATAGGAAGAAATAAAATCTTAGCACCTGCTCCCCTAAATTTGTCTTGGATAAATGTTAGTATATAAAGATAGTGATTACTTGCAGGAGACAGGTGTATTGTGCTGCAGTGGGTAATTCTGAAATAAGCAATGTATCTTTCAGGTTGAGGTAAAAAGAAATGAAGTTTCCTTTCTTCTTCCTGAGTCCAAGAAGGAAATAGAATTGCCAGTGAATGCAACACCATCTGCACCTCTGCCACAAAGTTCACATGAGTTACCAGACTGTGTCAGACCTGCAAGGAAGACACAGCTTCCAGACAGTAAGTGGAACACCCCCATCCTTCCCTCCTTCCCCAGGCAAATGAGAACCTGATTATGCAGTTGCAGCTAGGAGTACGTTGGACAGATCTTACCCAGTGTACATGACCTGTGTCTATACTTCATGTAAGGCACAGTACAAAGGCAAAAGCATGCCCAGAGCCTGTGAATGTGTAGATGCTAAATATCTGTGCAGGGCCTTTCTGTTGCCCCTTTTCCCAACCAGCCAAATGGATTGTGTTGACATGCTGTCAGTTTTAATGCCTCTGGGGTAGTGACCCAGAACAATTTTTTTTCCAGCAATGTATGGCAGCAAGGCCCTAAGTATGTGAGCTTGCCTCTGCTCATAACCATTACATTTTGTGGGATAAGAGCAAGTCTGGACATCACATGAGTCTGTGTGATTACTCTGGAGAAGACCTGAACAGCAGGGGGCAATGCAAGATCCCAAGGCACCATCCAGCCCTGGATTAGTTGCATTCTCCTTGAGGCCGCATAATCTTGTTTCTCACAGTTTTCCTTCTCTTCTCGCAGACCCTGCTATTCTCTACACTGTGGTGGATCACGTACCGCCATCTCGGTGGAAAGAGTTTGTGCGGCGTCTGGGTCTGAGTGACTATGACCTAGAGCGAATTGAGCTGGACCATCGGCGTTTACGAGATGCCCAGTACGAAATGCTTAGACTGTGGAAACTGCAGATGGGCCGTGCTGCAACTGTGGAGCACATCAGCTCTGTTCTCAACCAGATGGAGCTCAGTGGCTGCAGTGATGCTATTCAAGAGGCTCTGCTAAACCAGAACTCTCCTCAACCTTGCAACCTCCACAACCATCTTTAATCTATTTCTGCTTTGTTGCCTTTGCTATGACTGTTAAGAGTGGATAAAAACTCTCTTACTTTCCCCATATTTCCCCATCTTCCTAACACTTGTCAGCTGGGTTTGTTGGAGACAGCAGCAGATTATGCTGGAGGAAGGCTGAGGTTTTCTTCTCAACCACCAGGTAGTTCAACACCTTTAAGCCACAACAGACCCCTGCAACAACTCCTTTTTCAAGGAGGGAAAGCACCTCATAATGGAAGAGGTGTGTGGACTCTTACCAAGATGAAAACAGGAGCTCTGAGTGACTTGATAGATCAGCTGCTCTATGGACAAGTTGTTGCTGAAACAGCAACAACTACAAGTTGTGCTGGGTAAACTTGTAGGGTAATTTGGTTAGGCTGGCAGTTCAGATGCTAAAGCACTTACTCACTTCTTGCAGATCTATTTTTCTGCGAGATCAACCAGTTGAAGTGGCTCACATTGCAGCCGTTTGATTCCCACTCGGTAAGTAGTGGGAGGATGTGCCTATTTCTGGGAGCAGGAGAGGATTGCCCCCTCTCGGTATCAACGAGTAATTATCGCTGTGGCAAAAGACTTTGAGATTCAGAAGTGGTGGCTCTCTCTGTGAGAAACTGGAGGATGGTATCCCTAACACACCATTTCCCTTAGGCTCCAGGGGAGTAAGGGTTCTGAGACAGCGAGTCAGATGAGAGAGTTGGTGCTTTTTTTCCGAGTTTTTTTTCTATACCTAGAAACCATGTAAGTTAGCATTAACAAAACACCTGCCTGTGTGTTTGTCCAAGTGCAGAGTGGGAAGGACTGCATGCATCTGTCTGGGTGAGATGGTACCTATTCACCTGGTAGCATGAGCACCTCTGCAACTCTTGCTTCCACACAGGTCAGTAGGCTCATGTCTACCTGCTTATCTATCTGAATGATTCAATGAATCTAATCTAACTGCAAATGGGACTGTATATGTGTCTGTATAGATATTTTAGCAACTTTTGAATAACTTCACACTACTTCCTAAACTGCATTCTGTGATTGCTACTTGGGTGTGAGAGCCATTTGGTACCATCTCCAGGCTCTCACCATCATTTTCTCACTGCTGTTACCCTGGGTGAACTAAAAGTAGCAAAAATCAATTAGCCTGCATCAGGTGCAGGTTGTCCACACATTTGTAACATGGATTTTTTTAATCTCTCATCTTTTGACCAGAGAGAAACTTTCTATTGTAAATACACTAAATGCTCTGAATTAAAATTAGTATTTTTACCTCCTTTCTGGTTTTGTTCTTATCAGCTTCTTTTCTGTGACTGTGGATAGGGGCAGAAGAAGAGGAATAACTTCCAAAAGTGGCAAGAGTGGATGGCCTGGTGGTCTCATGTTTCTTTTAAGGACCCTCCCCCAACTTTTATGTGCTTTTGTATGTAAACCTTAGCTGACCTCAAATGACAACAAGATAGCTGAGGGCAGGAAGCAGGACTGAAATTAAATCCAGTTGCAGGTCTTCTCAGATATTCAAGAGTTAAAGGGGATGCTAGCACATTTAAAGTGAATTTTTAAACAGTATACAATGAGTAATTTTGATTTGTATTTGGCTTTTTAAACAGGAAAATATCTTTAAATAAAAGAATAATACATTATACTTTAATGTTAATCTTACATGTTTTTGTCTGAGGATCCAAAGCATCATGTTAAGGCAGTTAGGACTATTCCACTTGAAGGTTTCCTACTTGAAACTTAGAAATTCCTGACAGTCAATGACAAAGCTGGGAACTGAAGTCAGTTTTAATTCCCAGTCTGAGGCCTTGTTTTGCTATGCCTACAGACTATTTTAATTGAGGATGATTTTTTTGTTTGTTTGTTTGTTTGTTTTGCATCAGAGACAGTACAAAGCTCAGTGTAATACAGTTTTGCTTTCATAATTTATGTTCAACAAGCACAGCAGCATTGTAACTATTCGAAGTACATGCTGTAGATTGAAACTGTGCTTAAATTGGGGAAACTCTCTGAAATCTTCCAAGCCTTAGGTGGGTTTTTTTTTGGCCCACACCTCAAACAATGTAATCCATCATTTAACATTCATGTGTTTCAAAGGTCATGGCACAATGTAAACCACAAGCAGCAGGCCCCAGGCCACTGCTTGGTTGCCAGTGGCTTCATGCAGGAATTTTACAGAAATCCATGGCTATGAAATTCTCTTCAAGGTAATGAAGGTGACTTGGGTGGGTAATATATACGACTATGGGAGTGGAAGTTCCTCACGCTGCTGCCTCTGAGCCTCAGAGCAGTCGCCAGAAAAATGCAACTGTTTATGTAATTTTATTTATTTGCCTTACTACTAGTTGAACAGCTAATGCTGAAGTGATGATGCCCGAATATAGAACATTTACATTATAATTGCACTGGGTACAGTTCTGGTGTCCCCAACATAAGAAGGACATGGAATTGTTGGAGCAAGTCCAGAGGAGGGCCAAGATAAGAGGGCTGGAGTACCTCCCCTACAAAGACAAGCCGAGAAAGTAGGGACTATTCAGTTTAGGGAAGAGAAGGTTGCATGGAGACCTCATGGCAACCTTCAGTATCGGGAGGAGGCTACAGGGATGCTTTGCCAGGAACTGTAGTGACAGGACAAGGAGTAATGGATGCAAACTAAAAGAGGGGAAATTTAGGCTGGATATTAGGATGGCATTATTTATTGGGAGGGTGGTAAGGTTGTGGGTGCCCCATCCCCGGCAGTGCTCAACGCCAGGTTGGATGGGGCTCTGAGCAACATCGTCTAGTGGAGAGTGTCCCCGCCCATGGCAGGGGGCTTTGGCACTAGATGTTCTTTAAGGTCCTTTCCAAATCCGCAACATTCCATGATTCTACGGAAACAGGTCGGTCGATGCTCCGCCCCAGCAGACGGCACTCCCCCCCTGCCCGGCAGGCGATGGTCTGATCGGGGCGGTGCCAGGCTGTCTCCCCCCCGCCGCCTGCCGCGGCTTGGTAGGGCCCGCGGGGCCGCGGTGCGCGCCGGGAGCGGGGCCGGGCGGCTGCGATCCCGAGGGGTGTTCCCGGCGATCCCGCGGGGTGTTCCCGGCCATCCCGTCCCGCTCCGCCGCGGCCCGCCATGGCCCTCAACAAGTCCATGCACGCCCGCAACCGCTACAAGGACAAGCCGCCCGACTTCGCCTACCTGGCCGGCAAGTACCCCGAGTTCCAGCAGCACGTGCAGACCACCCTCGCCGGTAGGGTGAGGTACGGCCGGGGCGGGACGGGATGGGACGGGATGGGATGGGATGGGATGGGTGCCTGCCCGCCTGTGTGCCCTTAAAAGCGCTACCTGTGCCTTTCAGCCTGAATTTCAAAGACCCCGAGGCGGTGAGGGCTCTGACTTGCACCCTCCTGAAGGAGGATTTCGGGCTCACCATCGACATTCCCGTGGAAAGGCTCATTCCCACTGTCCCCCTGAGGCTGAACTACATCCACTGGGTTGAGGATCTTATCGGCCACCAGGATGCTGAGAAGCCGGTGCTGAGGCGAGGCATCGACATAGGTACTTGACCAAACAAAATGTTTATTTCATTGTTTCCCGTCAGCGACACTAGCAGGTACAATCTGTTACACACCCACAGGGAAACGTTAAGTTTGACATACAAAAAGCTCTGACTTTGGCTTTGCGGATCCTTCCATTCTCTTGAGTGCAGTGTTCTGTGGCACACAAAAAGTAGGCTGCTACTAATGCAGGCAAAAATGTCATTCTAAAAGAATTTAAAAAAAAAAAAAAAAATGATGTGTCTTCTCAGTGCTCTAACTGATGAATTTTGTTTAGTTCGTAATCTATTAATTTTGCTTTTGAATGTCTACACAAGAGAGTTTGTGAGTTGCATAGCAATATTTTCTAGTGTTCCATTTAATAACATTTTTCCTGCTTTTATGGGTATTTTGACAGGTGAATGATCTGTCCTTTTTAAACTGATTTTTATTTTAATTTATTTCAATTTAGCTATTTTCATGAGCCAAATTGTAGAAAAGGCTTAATCAGGAACCAGGGCAAATGCTAGCAAAGCTGTATTTTGGTTGTAGGTGGTCAAAGATTTCCTGTTTATTGTAGAAAAATGTTTTTTAAACTGGTCTAAGCATCAGCAGATGAGTAATATTGTCCAGTTTCAGTCTATAGTATTGGATAATAGGAGGACAATATTTGGATTAGGCAGCAGATTAATGTAAAAAGTTACTCAGTAGAGCTATGAATTTATAAGATGTACACTGAAGCACATAATGTGCTTTTCGTTAGAAATAATAAAAAAAGAAAAGGCAAGCTCTGTAGGAACTTCCATATACAGATAATAAAATTGGCATCTAGATTCCAAATTTTTGGTTATTCTAGATGGATTATTTAAAAGGCACCACTAGTAGTACATTTGAATTTAGTCCACATCTTTTATTTTGTCAATAGAATCTTCCTTTACAGTTTCAAAGGCTTGTTTTTGAAGATTGCTTTGTGCTGAAGAAAACTCATAATGAAATTGAGAGAAGCTGGAATTTAATTTCTAACCTGTGTTTTAGTGCTTGGCATTAAAATTAAAATTACTGACTTCCTCAGAGCTTAAGTTCAGGAATCTGGGTAACTCTGCCAGCTTTTACATTTCTGTTTTCTTGGCATTTTGCTAGCATGACTTTTTATATTGGAATTTTGCTATCTCCTGAAATTTGCTGACTTGTATTTTTAGCTAGAGTTGTGCTGGATTCCAGGTTTGTATCAATCACATGCTGTGTGCACAACTGCTTTCCTTTTATCACTTTTAAATTTCTTAGCCAGCTTCTACGCATTTGATATTAGTTTTCAGTTTTGGAAATGATTCCTATGAGCTTCGTCACAGTCGGTGGCTGGGTGGAAAAGACAGATCCTTTTAAGTCCTCCACATACTGCAAAATCTTCAGTTTGAGTTTGCATGAGCTTTGATGTTCCAACTCTTGGAGAGCAGTAAGTCATCCAAGAGGCATATTACAGGAGTGCTGGAAATTACCCCATGCTTTTGCCTACTTACAGACATTGTCATGGATATTTCAGTAAGTCAGTACAACAGACTCTTGATATATGTCTAAACTCAAGTTTTGTGGTGGTGGGATATCTCTTCTTTGTATCCATTCCCTTTAAACCTAAATTTAATAAATATTGGTAATTTGACCATGTAGATATGCTGTAATTATTTTGTGCTAGCATGTCTCTGTTACCAAGTTTTTGTCTATGTGTCTTTTTAGTTATCTTAATTGATACTTGTGGTTTTTTGATAGTTTTGGACATCAGAGAGAATCTGGTGGAACAGAATTTTTTCTGTTGTTGCTGTATGCATCAAAGTAAATTATTTGTGATAACAGAAAAATGCAGAAGAGAAATATACTTGTGGTAGTAAAGCTAAAATTTGCTTTAGTAAAACCAGAATGTATTTGGCTTTCTGTATATAAATCAATCACTGTTGCACAGAAGAAAAATAGCTTAAAACAAGGTTGATAATTTATTAGAAAATTTATTCCAGATTATTACATTTTTTAGTGTTACTAAAAGTGCACATTTGACAGTGTTATTTTTCAAAATACGAAAATAAAGCTCACTAAAGATCTGAGTAGTAGATGATCAGTAATCAGCATTTTCTGAAGTTAGTTCTTTTTGTTGTAAAAAGTACATGGTTAACAGCCACACTGGGTATAACGCCAGACTTACTTTGCCTCTCTCATGGATTTTCACTCCTGCAGGGACAGGGGCATCTTGCATATACCCATTACTCGGAGCAACTTTAAATGGCTGGTATTTTCTTGCAACAGAAGTGGATGACATGTGCTTCAATTATGCCAAGAAGAATGTGGAACAGAATAACTTGTCTGATCTTATAAAAGGTATGATGTAATAAGGTATTTAGCAGCGTACAAACGTTGTGACGTATTTTTGCCGTGTTCAGTGGTGTATCAGAATCTGTGTTCCTTCCAAATACACTCTCAATTGTTTTTACTGAAGCAGAATATTACTGAGGTTCTTGTGTGCTTAAACCAAAAAAACAGCTCATCTAGCATGGAATGTGTGGATACAGAACTATTCTTCCTTACAAAAATCTGAAAGTTAAACTTCGCCCTGGGGTGTTTTTGTCTCTGAATTTCTTGTCTGTTACTGAAACATTTCTTAGTGTTTGTGCTGCTTCTGCTGCTAGGAGACCTGGAGTGCTCCCCTTGGATAATTGCGTGACACTGCCACATAGGCATATCTTGTACAGATGGAGTTCTTTGTCCTCGTTTCTGAATGAGGTCCTAACAATGTCTGTGGTAGAAATAGCAGTATGCCAGAATTGGTCTGGAATGATCTTGGAAAACTTTCTTTAGGAACTCAGTGTACTAAAAAGCATTTTATCAGCTCTGAAATAAAAGCTTTGCTTCTGTTGGATTTTGGAAGCGTCCTTATGAACGATATGTCCATGCCAGTCTTGAAATCCAGAACTTGGTGTGGAGAGTACTGAGAGTTTTCTGTTAACTGCTGCCATCACAGGATTTTTAGTGGTGTGTGAGGGTTTCACTATACTGGAAAAAAAGGCTGGCAAAGGAACATGCCTCATGTGAAGCTGAAGTGCCTGTAGTTGGAAGGCCTTAAAGCTCATTTGTGGTTGTATTGGAGAACTCAGTATAACTCACGCAGTCCCTATTGTTTTAAACAGACTCGTGGTTCTGCTGCTGTGTATAAACATACAAGCTGTTTCTATGCAAATCCTTAACCTGAAGTCTTTTTGCATGCTGATGTTTGTTACATGTGTTTTATAGAAAGTATTGTTTAGAAAGTACAGTTTTTATACAATGTGTAACGTATATGGTGTGCCAGATAGAATATGAAGTTCCTTACTGACCAAATTCACATTTTCTAATAGTGGTTAAGGTACCACAGAAGACACTCCTAATGGATGCACTGAAGGAAGAATCTGAGATCATTTATGATTTCTGCATGTGCAACCCTCCCTTTTTTGCCAACCAGTTGGAAGCAAAGGTAAGCTAACAAACTGAATGTTGTCTGTACTTCAGTATTCTGTCAGTGGGAAGGTAGCAACAATTTAACCTCTTTACTTGGGGAAGCTGGAGTGGAAAATCACAGACCATTACGAAATAGCATTTAAGTCTTCTCCCTCCTCACCCCATGGCCCCTAAGGGAGTTTTGAAAACTTAACTGTTACCCTTCCGAAAGTGGAGGATGAGCTGTAGAATTGCACAAGTTCTTACTGTCTTAGAGAATTAGTTTGGAAACTAGACAGCTGGTAAATCTGAAATCAGGTGCCTGTTGCATAACAGTGGTGCAGAGGAATTAGTTTCTGTTGTTATGCTTATTTGTATTTTTTGTTTCCTTAGTGATGTAGAATCATAAAGCTCAGAGCAGGTCTTGCAATACCCACTGAATGCAGCCAGAAATGTAACTATAATATAGGCCAGTAGAATAACGATTTAAGATTTAATTAAACATTGTAGTTTGTAATTGTATAGATGCATGTAGCCAACATGTCTTACACATACTGGAACCACATATTCATGTTAGCAGGATCCTGATGTGTGGCAAGTAGCTTACTTAAGTTTGAGATTGTAGCAATTTCACTGTTAAGCTTATTTGGAATGTATCTTTGTCTATTACCCATGGTTCTGATGGGGGAATATAACCAGAGGTGGTGGTGTTTGCTACCAACTAAAGACTGAGCTAGGAAGCAGTGAACAAAACAGACAAAATTTCATTAAATGTTCATGTCAAATGTTCCTTTTTATTTTTATCCAGGGAGTAAATTCTCGAAATCCACGGCGTCCCCCTCCCAGTTCTGTAAATACAGGAGGGATCACAGAAATCATGGCTGAGGGAGGAGAACTAGAATTTGTCAAAAGAATTATTCATGATAGTCTTCAACTTAAAAAGCGGTTACGGTAAGTGCTTTGTTCCAGTTAAAAAAAAAAACCAAACCAAACACCTTTTACCTTCATATTTGGCAGAAATCATATGAAAATCATATTTTAACTAAGGTATGTAGCTGTAGTCCACTGGTATCTGTTTGGCTTGTTTAAGGATATATGCACATCAGTAATTGTTCCTGGGCATCAAACCACTAGAACTCATTGTTGGAGATATTTAAAAGCAGGAGACAAAAAAAGCCTGTGTGAGTGACACTTGTAGCTTGCAGCTAAAATAGCACACACTTGCTAAAGACAGTCAGGGCTCATTCTGAAGGGATTCTGGGATGGAGGAGGGTTTGTGACATTGCCTAATTATCTGTTCATTACCTAAAAGTTTCCATCTTTTGCTGGCTGAATTTTAGTAACTAGCAGCTTTGCTTACTAAAGGGCACTGTTGTATTGTCTTGGGTGAACATAAGCTGCAATAAAAAACATAGTGAGGCCTTCTTTGGGAGAACATAAGCAGATGGTACATCAGTTCAGTTTTCTATCAGGTTTTCACTCCCCCTGTGTTGTACGTCAATATCTCTAGCTGTTCTGGAAGATTGTTTTTTTCTATTATTTTTTAAATATCCTTCTAAAATACAACTGCCAGAATTTTACGTGTGGTTTTTTTTGTTGTTGTTTTGGTTTTAAATCTCCTATTGTTCTTACAGCTTTCTGCTCCAAGTAGTTCTTACTAGTAGTTGCCATTTTCAGTTGATCTCTCTTTGTAAAACACTTGGTTAATGTGTTCTCTGCAGATGGTACAGTTGCATGCTGGGGAAGAAATGCAGTTTAGCACCACTGAAAGAAGAACTTCGAATCCAGGGGGTGAGTTTGTATAGATACCCTGTACATGTTCTATACAATATATACTATGTTTCAGTGCATGTGGGTAATTATTGTTGAATTATTTTACTGAGTTTTTATTACAAGAAGGAACTGCAATGTCTATTTAGGGAAACAGTTAAGATTTAATTATTCTAGGTTCAAAGCTGACAGACAAGTAGCAAATACTGTCTCCAGGTTTTTGTCTTTATCTCGTGTTGAAGCATGTCTTCATCCATTCTAGAACCTACAGGATTCCTGCTTTAAAATAGCCTTAACAGCGTTGCTGTGGGAAAAAAAAAAATCTAACTTACTTTCCTCTTACCTAACATGAAATCTAGCAATTTTGGTTGATAAAAGAAATTGGAACATGATTGAAGTGACAGCATTGTTTTGTTTGTGTACAGTTCAGGCACCAAGTAAAATTGAACCTTGTGCTACTGTTCTCATTTTGATGGCTTTCTGGAGGAAGCATAGCATAGTATTTCCATACACAGAAAGTGATCATGAGATCTGTTCTTGTATATGGGGGAAAGAAAGAGAATACATGATAAAATCAGTTCCCAGAAAGATGAATTACAGGCTGTAGGGAATCTAAATTCCGTGCTAAAAGCAGATGCTGAGCTAGGCACAAAATTTCAAGCAACTGATTTTCTTCTCTGTCCTTGAACTGCTGTACCTCAGTCCTAGTAAAGTGAGAGAAATCATTGCAAACCTTGCACAGGAAAGCTGAGGTTTCCTTTTGTATTTTTCTTTTTGTTCAGGTTTGTAATCTTTATTGTGTCAGAGCTGAGAATATGTTTGTTTTAACCAAGCACATGTTGTGTTGTGGTTCAGGTTAGGATGCAGCAGAAATGTTACGGGAAGTCCACTCGTTGTTCAAACTGTCCTAACATTTGCTGTGTTTATTGAAAATTTTGATAGAAAGATAGGAAAATTCTAGTATAGAGACATCTTTTCCTCTCGTTTTTCAATAGTAGCAGATTTTTTTTTCCTTTTTTTTCTCCTTCTATGCAGGCCTGGGGCTTATGCTCTGGAGCTGGTGATAATTCAGAGTGAAGTGGGATGGTTGATTTTTATCCTTGCTAGTATTTAACACATTCTCCATACCATACATAATGCCTTACAGCATCCATGCATGAAAATACTAGACAACAGTAACATCTGAGTTTTAGATTTAAAGGCAGTGTAAATGCAGACTTGATTTTTCTGGGGCAGATAAAGAGAAGTGGGCATTGGTATCAGGCTTAGCACTAACCAACTTCAGGTGGCCCTGAGCTGCGTCAGAAAGAATCTCCATTTCTGTCGTGAGAAAATATGCTTTCTTTCAAAATGTGTGCAGTAAAGCAATGTTGTTTGTGAATCTGAAATAAAGTTTTGTGTTACTTCTTCGCATAGGTTCCTAAAGTTACTCATACCGAATTCTGTCAAGGACGCACCATGAGATGGGCACTGGCCTGGAGTTTCTATGACGATGTACAAGTACCTGTAAGTAGCTTAATTCTGATTTGCTTGATGATTGTGCCTCTTGCTTAGGAAGGAGCTAATGAGTTACAACTACTGTGATACAAACTGTTCTTTGGATTGGGTGTGCTGGGCTGTACAGACAATGAGATTTCTTAGCTGGCTGGTGGTCTGTTAGCAATTGTTACAAGCGATTCATGAGTGACCCATGTTCAGGGTGGGAAAAGGAAGCCAGTGTAGGAACTTTCTATGGGTTTCAGTGAAAATAAGGATAATTTGTAATATGAGAGCAGTTTAGTAGTAATAAAAATGCGCTGAGTTTGGGGCTGGACTTTAATTTAAATTTCCTTTTGAGAACTCAGTTTTAATATGTAGATTCTGTTACCAAATAGTCACGATCATGTCTAACTCAGACTTGCCCACATGAATATAAGTGAAGCTCATTCACCTTAAATGTGAGCCAGTTGCTTTTTTGGATCTGGATGTTCATATACTTGAAGATAGTATAGACAATAATCAACCTTATAGAAGACACGAGTAGACCTTCAGTGAACTTGGATCAAAGTGTGGATATTAGCAATTGACCTCTATTCCCAAGTGCAGCTGCATTTTCTCAGCTCACAGAGAGCTAATAGTCTGAAGGAACCAATGAAGCTTTTTGTTCAACATCTGAAGGTAAACTCCCTCTGTCCATCAGGCTATTGTAAAGTGCATGATCCTGTTAGAAGGTTTTAGTCTAAAACTCTTGGGTGTGAAGTAAAACAGGCTGTGTGAATGACTGTTTAGTGGCTTACGTTATGCTCTTAATCCTCATGTCTTAGAGAATCATAGTCTTCTGAGTACAAAAGTCACCCCACTAATAATGCATAGACTAGTAATTTGTTTTCTTTCTTTCTCCTTCTAGTCACCTCCTTCTAAAAGAAGAAAATTAGAAAAACCACGAAAACCAATTACATTTATGGTCTTGGCTTCTACAGTCAAAGAGTTATCCATCAAAGCTGCAGCTATGGGCTGGGATGCTGTAGAAGCTATTGCTGTCGTCAGAGCCTGGGTAGAGAAGATTCTCACCGATCTGAAGGTACAGTATGAAATATTAGAAGTTAAAAGAACATTCTAATTGAAAGAATAACTGTGAGAGAGAGGATTGAATGAAATTCTGCTGTTTTCTGCAATAGGTTCAGCATAAACGTGTTCCCTGTGGAAAAGATGAAGTTAGCCTGTTTGTGACTGCCATTGAAAACTCCTGGATTCATTTGAGGAGAAAGAAACGAGAGAGAATAAGGCAGTTACGAGAACTTCCTCGAGCTTCTGAAGATATTCTGCAAGCAATGGAAGAGGAAAAGAACAGCCAGAAGAGTGTGAGCAACAATTCGGACTGTGAAAACCCCAAGACTGAAGACTCTGAAATGGGGTTTATGGCACCTGATGAAGATGTCCAGTTGACCACAGGTGATGAGCTACCAGAGGAATCTGCTGCCAAAGAAGAACACAGTGATCCTGTGAAGGAAGAGGAGATGGAAGCAAAGCAGGGAGAAACATCTCTTGGCAAAGGTTCTGGTGATGCAAAGGAGGAACCTTGCCTTTCAGAGGAAGCTAGCAATCTGACAGTTGAAAAAGAACAAAGCCCCAAAGAAACTAGTAGATGTTTTCTCTTTAAGTGTTTAATGAATGTGAAGAAAGAAGGAAATGATGTGGTAGTAGAAATGCACTGGGTGGAAGGACAGAACAGAGACTTGATGAACCAGCTGTGCACATACTTACGGAACCAAATTCTTCGACTGGTTGCTAGTTAGCCCATTTTCCTGCTTCGGTAGAGTAGGTCTGTCCTCAAATTTTGTAAACTATTTTTAATTAATTAAAAATGTCAGTGAGCAAAACCTGACTTTTTCCCCTTAAAAGAGTAGTATTAATATAGATGTCCCCTTTAATGTTTTAAATAGCTTTTTCAAAGCTGCAAGGAGGACATGAAATGTACTTCAATGGACCTGAAGTCATGGGGAAGTAATAGATTTTGTGCTGCAGTTGTAAAACTACATGTTAAAGTGAAACATGTCTATGCTGTGAGCATTTTGAGTATCAACAGTGCTTATTCTGGTCTTTTCTGGCGCAATAGGTTTATATATTGTTTCTAAGTAGAATACTGAGATATTTTCTTCAATATTTTTTTAAATACTAATACAGGAAATGGTTAGTCTGCTGTGGGAATTATTTTCTGCAGTGAGGAGTCTTCAGCAAAGGATTTCAGTATGCCTTTTCTGTTTAATGTATTTAACTTTTGGTCTTCGCAGTTGCAGAATGGATACATTTTCCAAGTGTCAATACATTAAAATAATTGAAGTGCATGTTGTACTTGTCTGGTGCTTGGGCTTTGAAACACAGAAGGGCCTACTGTTAGCATCTGGTTTTGTAAACTTTAACAACAAAAGCTTTTTGAGCTGCTTGATTTTAAAGAGGATTTAAATATGTTGACTCTACCCTTAGGCCATTCCTTACACTTACTCAGATATAATTGCCTGAAACGACAGCACTATTCTTAAAAGATTTTGTTTCCATTTAACCTTAAGTGATTGCTTTAATGACAAGACTTGAGAATACATGCTCATCTTTGAGGGCCAGAAGTTCTTTCCGCAAGACAAAGATGGGTACAGAAGCTTTAGGTTTTTGCAAAGGAAGACAACTGGAATGAAGGCTGTTGCTTCCACATGTGACTTGCCAGTCCTTTTTGTTACTATCTGTTTTCCCAGTGTTTCTGTGCTAATGACCTGCTCCTGTGAGAAGGGAGGCTGAAGGACATGGATCTTCGATGCCTCAGAGAGGGTGTGTGTATGTGTTTGAGATTATGAGCACTGGTGCTGCTTCCCATAATGCAGATTTCCAAGCTGTGATCCATCTCTCTGTAAAGATGTGCAGAACATGGAGAGAAGGTTTTTCTGAGAGTGGAGCATGTGTGCGTGTGTTACCCAGAGTAATACATAGCAGTGGTGGACAGCAGGAAATAACTACATGTGTTCATGCTTCTGGAGCCACTTTGAACATTCACCCTTAGTTCTTGATATTTCTGGAAGGAATAGTATGTTTCCTTAAGTTGAACTCAAAAGCAACTTGGAAAAGCCCTATTTTTTGATATCATGGTTTTAGCACTCTTTTGGGTGATGGACAAAGACATGCATTTTTTGGGTATTGCAGAATTTTCACTGAATTGCTCTGATGCTCTTGTCACTGAGGAGAGATAAAACCAGTCCTGCTCTTTTAGAATCTGAAGCTGTTATTTTGGCTGAGCCATTCGAACCACTAAGCGAGATCTGTTTGTCCTTTGTGCCGCTCTCTGTTTAACATTTCAGCCATCTCCCCACAAGGATGAAGCACCTCTACAAGGTAGGCCCGTGTGCTCGTGGCGTGCCTGTTTTGCCGAAGCAGACGCCGTCGCCTTCCTTAATTAACCTCCGCTTCTCACCTGCACAGCGCGAGTACCGCGCTCTCCCGAGCGCCGCTTAAGCAAAGGCCTATTTTGGCGAAGACAACCCGGGCTTTGTGATGACGGCACTCCGGGGAGCACCCTCCCCACCTCCCGCCCGCTCCCCGCGGCCGCTCGGGCCGCCCTCCCGCCGGCCGGGGCGGGGCTGGGTTTGAATGTCGCGGCGGGAAGATGGCGGCGGCCGCTCCCGCGGGCGGGGGGAGGCCGAGCAGCCCGGCCCTGCCGCTCCCCGGCGGGCCGTGCTGAGCCCCCCGCCCGGCCTCGACCTCTCCCTGCGCGGCAGCGGCTCGGCAGGTACCGGCGCAGGAGGGCGCAGCCGTTTTCTCCTTCCTTCCTTCCTTCCTTCCTACGTTCCTTTCCCCGCCTTTCCCTCGGTCGTGCAGCGCGGCGGGGCGGGACGTGCTGGGCGAGGGGGAGCGGGGCTGCCCCGTGGGCACCGCGGCGCTGCTGGAAGGGCCGGGCACCCTCCGAGCCTCTCTCGGCCGTTTCCCCGAGAGAGACGCGTTGCCCCCGCCTTTCTCCCTCGAGGGCAATGGCTGCAGCTTGTGTTAGGAAGGTGGTGGGCGTAAAAGTGCTAATCGAAGGATTTTCCTGCACTAATCACTGTATAGTTAAGGAAATGTGTATTCTGTGCCCATTTCTGGGGTCGGGCCCATTTCATTGTACGTCGTTTAACTGTGAGCTTCATTCTTGTCTTGGCCTCTAGGTGCTGCCATAATACAATAAAAAGGGTAGTCTGGTATACCAGGCAAGGCTTATCTGTGTTGTTAAATTGATTCGAGAATGCATATACAATATACTTCTATACATCATATAAAAGATGTTCTATAGATGTCTTGTGTTATACAAACATCTTGTGGTAAGGTGTCATCAAATGGTTCTGCTGCCAGCTAGAGCTACTTAAACTGAAGCTTGTAGACGCTATACATGCATTTTACCAGCTTATTGTGCTCTTGAATCCTGAGAGAAATCAAGATGTGTGCAGCATCGAGTTATATATAATATCTAAAATCAAGATGTAGCATCTTGCAATTTAATTTCTTTTGAGGTTTTTCTGTAACTTTTTAAAACATTTACATGTCTTGGTCTCTTCTCCAGTCATGCCACACCTCCCTGGTGTGATTATGTTCTGCAAGATAGAATTTTGTCAATTTCTGCAAATGGAGCTGAGCAAGGCAACTTACACATTTCCGCAGGGCAAGTCCTCAAAGACAATTCAGTGAGCAACACTCTTGTGTCCAACTGGCCCCACATTCTGGAAGGGTTTTCGTTCAGAGAAATCTAATACCCAGTGCTTTTAACCAACAGTTTGTATCTTCCTAATTTTGACTGTTTCTTAGCATTGTTCTAGTAGGTAAAAAAGAGGTTAATGTCAGTGGTATATTTCTGTACATAAATCTTTAAAGTCTCCTAAGGCACAAGTTCCCAAACTCATGTGCAGTTCTAATCTACACGTATTCTTCAAAGGGCAGAATCATGTAATCCTTTACTCCTTCCATCTTTTGTGTGATGTTCATTGGCTTTAATATTAGGAAAAAAGCTTGAGATCCCATCACGTAGGGGGTCTTTTATGTTTCTGAATCCTAATTCTGCTGTATTAGTCACTGTATTGGACTTGCGTGGCAAGGGAGCACTGTAAGGGTGGCTTTTGTGAGAAGCTGCCAGAAGCTTCCTCTGTGTCCCATTGAGCAAATACCAGCCAGATCCAAGAGGGACCTGCCACTGGCCAAGGCTGAGCCCATCAGCGACAGTGGTAGCACCTCTGGGATAACGTATTTAGGAAGGGGGAAAAAACCCCTGTACAGTGGCAATTGCAACCAGAGAGAGAAGTGAGCATATGTGAGAGAAACAGCCCTACAGACACCAAGGTCAGTGAAGAAGGAGAGAGAGGAGGTGTTCTGGGTGCTGACCTGATATTCCCTGGCAGCCCATGAGGAAGACCATGGTGAGTCAGGTTGTCCCCATGCAGCCCATGGAGGTCCATGGTGGAGCAGAGTTCTACCTGCAGAGGACCCCACACTGAAGTGAGTGGATGCCTGAAGAAGGCTGTGACCCCATGGGAGGCCCACATGGAGCAGGCTCCTGGCAGGACCTGTGGCCCTATGGAGAAAGGAGCCCATGCTGAAGTAGGTTTGCTGGCAGGACTTGTGACCCTCTAGGGGACCCAGGCTGGAACAAATAATGAGCAACTGCAGCCTGTGTCAAGGACTCATTTTGGAGAAATTCATGGACGACTGTCTCCAGTGCGAGGGATGCCACGGTGGAGTAGAGGAAGAGCGTGAGGAATCCTCCTCTTGAAGAGGAAGGAGAGGCAGAGACAATGTGTGACAAACTGAGTGCAACCCTTTGGGGGTTGCACCCCTGTGGGGGAGAAGGTAGAGAAAATTGGGAGTAAAGTTGAGCCTGGGAAGAAGGGAAAGGTAAGGGGATGGTGTTTTCAAGATTTTGTTTTATTTCTTGTTATCGTGTCAAATCCTCTAATTTGATTAGTAATAAATTAATTTTCCCCAAGTCAAGTGTTTTCTGTTATGGTAACTGTTGAGTGATCTCTCTCTGTCCTTATCTTGACCTAGGAGCCTTTAATCATATTGTCTCTCCCCTGACCAGCTGAGGAGGGAAGTGACAGAGAGGCTTTGGGGGGGCATCTGGTGTCCATGCAGGGTCAGCCCACCACAGTCAGAGTTTAGGATAGACAATTAGGATAGACAGTGGTCTCCTCTGAATTCCCCTTGGGAAGCCTGTTCTGCTTCGTGGCATACTTCTGTTCTCTCCCACTGGTGCTTAACTTCTTGTTTAGTATTTTTTGGTACTTGGATTACACAAAGTGAAACAAAGCTTTCAGAGCTTTTTATATATTTGTGTGGAAGAGAATGAAGACACACCAGTGACAACTAGGCTGGGATTAACCTCAAGGTGGCTGTTGAAATTTTTAATGTGTTGGGACTAAAAACACTGGCTACTTATTCTGGCTAGTATTGCTGATCCAACCTACTCTTCTTCTGTCAACAATGGTGGGAAATTTCTTTTATAATTTTTTGAATGCACCAGTAGAAGAATGGGTACAGTAGAGTCAGTACACACAACTTCTTGTTTTTCATCTTGATTTGACAAAGTCATTCACAAAATGCTGTTATGGGGACTTATAAAAATAGGGGAGACCTTACTGTGGACCAGAAACCTGTTTTCTGTATCAGATGAGGAAAGAGACAAAAAGCTTGAGTTTTTGTAATGATTGGAAAAAGGGAGGAGAAGGAGAGGAAGGAGGCAATGTCTGTAGCCAGAACAAAATTGTCTAAGATTACAAAGACAAAAAATAATCAGCAAGCAACTTAATTAAGCTAGAGGAACTGGCAGTGTTGTGAAGATACTTATCAGGTTGATAAAACTGAAATATGACACACTGTAGAGAGTAGCTTGAGCTGCTTGTTTGGTTTACGTTGTGTATTTCATTTATCTGTAAAGCAAGAAAAAGCCTAGGGTAGTTCTGTAATCTGAGGATTACTGAAACCTCAGTCTCAGTGGCACTGATTTAAAAGGGAAATAGTATGGATAGGGATGAGATGGCAAATACATTATAATGCTGTTATATTAATCAGTGCTGAAGCTCTATTTGAGTATGTATTTGGTAATGGCTGCTCTGTCTTAAAACCAAATACCGGAGAAAGAGTTTGGTGAAGAAATTAATTAAATGTGGGTAATCTTACAGGAGGAGAAATTGAAAAAAAAGAGATAAGAGTAATAGTGAAACATCCATAGGAAATACTGAAAAATATAAGGCAGATAGTTTATTGCCTTTTCTCATAATACAGGATTTTGTAGAGAAGTTTGACATTTAGGTGTATAACCTACATGACCTCAGATGCAAGG